ATTATCTTGCGGAATAATCACAATTAAACTTAACATCATATTATTCTTTCATTCGAGTTCAATACTAAACTCTCTTCACTTTTTTCTTAAATTGGGATTTCCATACTTACTTTATAGTTCTTATCTCACATTATGTTATAAATCTATCAGTTAGCTTCGTGTGGGTTTAAACCGCGCTCAAATCGAAGATCTGTAGCTCAAGTTATGCTAATTCTACTAAACTATGTTCATGCTGCTTTCGGGAGGAGGGTTTTAGCGCCTAACTGAGCGTTAAAACGCCCAGAGGCAGAAAATTTTGCCTTCTACCGGTCTTCAGAGCGTTTTGGCGCTAGACTTTCACGTCAAAACGCCCGATTGAGCGTTTTAGCACCCGTTTGCACGTTAAAACACACAGGGGCAGTGAATTTTCCTCCATTTCAGCGCTAAAACGCTCTCCTGCTGGGCAAAACATGCCCTCCCCTGTTTTCATGTGACTTCATGGGAGATTTCCTCCCACTTTCACCATTTCTTAACACCTAATATACATTGTACAACTTTAATACATGATCCTTATCTATGTTAAGACACACATTCATCAAATAGCATCCATGCCCTTCCATCATATATACAATATTACACAATTCCAAGTGTCTCTGTACATAATCATTGGATTGATACAAAACACTATGATCAAGTCTTTGCTCCCATCAACAAAGAGATACCAAAGGAGATGAGCATAGGCTAAGTCCATCAAAATAAAACATGACATACATATGACAAATGGCTTTCAAATATCAACCCTATACGTAGGAACTACAAAATGGCATGCATAACCCAAAATAATGCAAAATCTTCATGTATCAACTAGTCCAAGTATGGCCACTTGCCACCAGAGGCTCCTGCAGCATCTTTACCTGAAAGGGGTCCCCACAACACAGGGTGAGATATAGCAATACATCTCAGTAAACCAAGGGTCCTTGGAGCATCTCTCCACCCCGTAGTTCACTCACAGTACAATAGCAATAATCAGTAAATAATGCAGTAAATACATATCCATGCAGTGTGTAAAAACATCTCTAGGAGACATCCCTCGAGCTTTCATGCCGTCCTAAGGATACTCAGATGCAAAATAGTCCTACTGGCCAACTAAACTACCAAGTATGAATTACGCATCGTCATGCAACATACAAAACATAGGGAAACACCATCCTATGCCACACCCAAAGCATACACATACGTATAACAAAGCATTAAACTACTTTATTGCATTTATATACACTATCAACAACCACTACCCATTCCGCGCTTGGTGGAACAATAAAGGGATTAACACCCAAAGTCCAAAGGCTTACCTCAAAGCTCCAATTCAACCTTTGTTCGCCAACAAGTTTTGCAACCAATCAACTTTGAATTCAAGTTACAACTTGCAAAATACACACCTACATTAAGGTGTCACACAATCAATCAATACAATTTAATGAATATCCACATATCCATCAACAAAACAACAACTCTACACCACCAATTGGCATGAGCTTACCTATCCAAATGGGCTAATCAAGCTCCATAGCTTGCCCCAATGAGTGGTCACTCAAAGTTGGTCCACTTGCCTCAATCTTAGCAACACAAGGACACAATCAATCATCTAACTCATTAATTGCTCAAAATGCTAGAACATCCATAAGCCCAAGCATGAGTTTTCCCACACATTGAAGAATAACTAAATGATTATCTAAACTCATTTCTACCGTTTATTTATCATCTACAACAACTTTTACAAAGAGATTAAGCTTAAATCAAACCCAAACTCATACCACCCACCATGACACTATTCATCATCTTCCTCAATCTTGCAATCTCCATGGAAACAAAGCTCAAGGAGTAGAAACTTACCACAAATGGTTGCACAACCAAGGGATGTTGATCTCCTAAGCTCCCATGAAATGAACTACCTTCAAACTCTTCCGATCACCCAATGGGTCGAATTTTGGGAGGAAGAAATCTCCCACCACAATGCTCCCCACTCAAAACCAAGCTAGGATTATGGATGAGAGCAAGATTATGAGTGGTTTAGGCTTTTGAATCACTAAGATTGGTTGAGAAATTGAGTAGCTAGGGTTTCTCACTTTCTCTCCTCCTTTCTTTCTCTCTCGGTCACGTTGCTGGAAGAAGAAGAAAATGAAGCTTTATTTGCTTCATTTGCACTTAACTTAGTTAGTCTTTTTCCACTGGGTATGAGCTCATCTATCTATTCAGCTTCATTCTCTTTCAAACTTTACCCAAAGGTCTGAAATATTTTTCTAGGAACTTTTTTAATTTTACTTTTATGTTTTGGGTACATACTTTTTCCTACACCCATTTTTACCCCATAATTTTCACTGACATCACTTTTTACCTCAAAAGTGACCCTAATTCATTTAATTAGGCCTTATACTTAATTTTACTCACTAATACATGCTTAATTACTCAATTACATGTAATTTACTAATTAATTAGACTAAGGATATTATAGTGTCAAACTATACGGCCAACACTAGAGGTGAAAGTGGGCTGGGCTGGGCCAAGCTTTGCCCCGAAAAGCCCAAGTCTACGCCAAAAAATTTCAATTTGGCCTGGCCCAAACCTATTACGAGTCTAACTTTTAGTCTGACTTGCCCCGTTTATAAAAATCAAATGGCCTGGCCTAGCCCATTAGCCTATTAACTTTTAACTTCCAAACATAACCATAAATCCACTTTACAAAATATTCAAATTTTATTGCTAAACCAAAAATCATAATTTCAACGTCCAAACAGAATCATGAATAACAACAAAACTCATACAATCTGCATTTAAGTCACTTTCAAAAGAAAAATGCTCAAATTAAATAATATATATTTCATCAGATCTAACAAACAAATCCATACTATATAAATTAAAATAATTACAAACACATCATCATAATGCTTGTAGTAAGTATAACCTCTTCCAAAAACCTTGTAATATATTCATATACACAATTTAACATGCTGAGATGTTGGTTCCTCGAACATAAGAAATAAAGTTAGATTTCTATTAAAATATAATCGAATATAATTAAGTTATAAATAATTACAATTGATTAAATTTTTATATCTTTTATTTTTTCTTCAAGGCATATTTATTCTATTTTATTTTATTTAAAATAAATAGTACAATATAGGCCGGCCTGTAAGCTTATAAGTCAAGCCTTGTAAAAGTGAGTCTAAAGTCTTTTTATTAAACAAGTTTTTTCAAGGCTCAAGTCTGGCCTGATGTAGGCCGAAACGTAGACCCCTATAGGCCGACCCGGCCCAGTTTCACTCCTAGCCAGCACCCTATGATGTCTGAAACATTATTATAATAAATGAGATTTTCTTTCCAAAAACATGTTATGACAAAGCCCCAACTATGTTTATGATCATAATCTTTGAGTGCTTTGGGAAGGCCTAGCTTAGATTGTTATCAAGAAGAGGCCATATGATTCAGCCACAACATTTGTAATTCTGCAAAGGCGCACACAGCTACTTAAGGGTAGTAACAGTAGTCCAGCAAATCTGAAGCCCTTTTTTTTCTAAAAAAAAAATAAGATAATTCTAAAGAACACTAACAAAACCAACATACATCCATCCATTGTGTATCGATACATGCATTAAAACCAGGGCGAACGAGAGAAGCCTTCAAAACTTAGGTTTTATTCAAATTTGAGTATTTAACAACTAAGACATACAGCCAAGTAACCATAGTTTCACTATCAGTACTTTTGTATTCTGTTAAGCTGCTAGTGGCAGCAGACAAACAAATAGAAAAAGTGATATTTCCTGTGTCCAATAAAGCTAGCTAGCTCACTTTAACCAACAGCCACGTTGGAGCATACATGGAGTGAGCAACTATCCACTAATTATGAGAACATGTTCACCTCGGCAAAATTACCTTCAAAGATAGAGGAGATCAAACATGAGATCTCATCAAAATAAAGCAAAACAACAAGTCACATTGTGCCAAGCATCCAATTATCCTGAAAAGAGGCGAATTAAGAGATAGTAATATACAATGAGTCAAATAACACTTCATAAAATTAGCACATACAGACTGACTAAGGACCAATATTTATATTTAAATTATAAAAACAAAATATAAGGAATATCTAAGAAGAAAAAAAATTGTAAGAAACTCAGTCTACAACAGTTCTATATTTTCCCATCTGTGGTTACAAACTTCATAGAGAAAAATCAAACTATAATAAACCAAAAATAAGCCCATTATCTACTTTGATCTTGAAATACTTTAACTGTTCAGATCGCATACCCACACTCCATTCAATCTGGACATAACACTAATATTGCACCAATCCATATAAAGCACATAACATTAAAGGGTGAAGAATTCATTAAGGTCATAATCCAGTGATAAGCCAAATATACTTGCATTGGCAATCTCCATAAAAAACAATGATCAACAAGCAAACTCCCATTCCTTTTAGGTGTTAGGGATAATCAGAAATAAAATGAGTATAGAATGCTGACACACTGATTCTAAGAAAAGTGTCTCTACAATACATAGATCCTTCTTGAGCTCCACAATAACATGGTTCACCTATCTGATGAAATATCTGATTTTCATCAGACATAAAATACTAATTTTCACCATTCAGTTTATCCTAAGCAAGGCACCAACAGTAGTGGCCAACTAAAAAAAATTATAGTGGCATAGCAGATCAAGGGGCGGTCCCTACACCAAAGATAACTAACAATGCAAACAGTTTCTTTCTAATACACACATAAATAATCAAAACTCAAGGCATATTCATCATTAATTCTCAAAAGTCACAGCTTATAGACACAATCATCATTAATCAAACATAGCAAAGAGATGCAAGGAAACAAGAATGGCTAAAACAGAGCAACAAGGGCTGAGAATTTGTTGAAACAGAGCAAAAAGCAAATAATAATAGTCTAACAAGTAACATAACAATAGTCTAACAAGTTTGAACTAGCCCCATCTATTTGCCCCACAAAAAAAAAAGTTCAACAAGTAAAAGCTTAACCAAGTAGAATAGAAAGACTATGTTAGAATAACAATAACAATAATAACAAAATAAATAAGACAGTGAAGTCATTTACCAATAAGGAGTCAGTGATGTGTTTTCATTTCTTTGAAAGAGAGAATGAAAAAACTGTTCACATTATTTACCTATCATAATTGCAGAACTGTGTGAAAAGTCCACATTTTCATTTCTTGTTGAAAAGGGAGATGGAGGTGCGAATAAAAGGTGGGACATCCAGAAAATGGCTGGAAAACGGGTGGGTTGGCCATGAAATGCTTCAGATGGCTAAGCTGTTTGCTGTAGTGGCCACCATAACTGAAAAATGGGCTGCAAACAGCTGCTATCTCAGCTATGACTGGTATGACACAAATGCCCCCACAGTGGAGCTCCAGTAGCAGCTGGAGGCAATTCCACAGTGCACTGGCACAGAAGCACCACGAAATGGCACAATTAACTACTCTGCAAACATCAACCTCTGTCCCCACTCACTTACCAAACAAATTTATAACACAAAAAATAAAAATACATGAATACTCACACTGTGGAACATAAAATATACCTCAAAATTTACGACACAATCAGCATAACAAATCCAAATAATTCCCCATGATTAAACAACAAAGATGACGAAATGCAATCACATTCATTCAAGCATCACGAACCACAACAAGCACATTTATTCACCAAAATAGTAAAAAATTCATATCATAAAGAGACAAAATCGTCAACACAGCCCAATAAACCTACAAAGAAGTACACAAAACATAATTCAACAATTTCATCAACTTCAAACTACCCACTAAAGTCCCAATTTTTTAATAACTTTCAAGAAACAATACATAAAATCAAGGAAAACCGCTGTCACAATCAGCTAGCTTTGGCATTCCCCTTAGTCTCAGCCTTCGCCTCACCAGAACAACACCCACCACCATGCTCATGATGATGGTGGTGGTGATGATGGTGATGATGATGCTGATGTTGATGCACCTGCCTCTCCTTGAGCTGCTTCCTCATATCATAAGCATCCTCCCCATCCGCATAATACTTAGCTTCCACATCATGAATCTTATACCCCAAAGTCTCCGTATACAAATTAAACGCAGCACGGTTACTCTTCCTAACATGTAGCGAGACATACTCAGCACCAAACACCTGCATCATAGAATAACAAAATTTCCAATCACTTATACACAAGTTAATGAAACTAACTCCTAACAAACTCGTAACCATCAAATAGGGCACTCTTCTTATGTACAACCAACTCCTAACAAACTCGTACCCGTCATAAAAAACTTGTAACTGAAAATTAAAAGGCAGTTGGTTAGTTAGTTACTTACTTGTTCCATGGCGTTCTGGGCGGCGGTCATGAGTTTGGTGGCGAGACCGAGTTTGCGGTGGGTGCGGAGGACGGCGAGGGAGGTGATGTGGCCGTGGCACTCGTTGGTTTCTTCTTCCATCTTAGCGAGGACGTAACCGACGATGCGACCGTTGTAATCCTCGGCGACGTAGAGAAGCTGTGGCCAAGAGAGGATGTGATAGAGGTAATACTTCATCTGGTAATTTTCCGGCAGACAGAAAAGGTTGCACGCTTGCATCGCAAGCAGGTCGTTCACCGTCGCCTTCCTTATGCACACCATGGCTCACTGCGTCAATTCGACTGCCACGGTTAGGTTAGGGCTCAAAGAGAAAGAGAAAGAGAAAGAGAAAGACAAAAGGGAAAGGATTTGGGTTTGGCGTGTGTCGTTTGAGAGCTCTCTATAATATGGATGTAGATAAAAGAAATTAGAAAATAAATTATAATCAAATTGGTGTAAGAAAAGATTTAACTTCGTAGGCCATATTAGTTTTTTAAGCTTTATCAAGGTACATTTTGTTTGTTAAATTAATATTTATGTTATAAATTTCTATAAACTAATTTGTTTGATGAATTACATATTTAAAAACTAATTTGACGGAGTATAAACATTTTAAATATCTTCATACATAATTTTTATTATTTAGATGCTAATATGGTTGATATTATATCTTTGAAGGATTAATATGATTGTTTATTTAAATAATTGAATATTAAAAAAAATTGAAAATAAATACACTAACGTTACTTTCAGGAGTTTAAATTTTGATACATTAATCAAAAAATTTAATATATAAATATGAAAAAGGTTATACTTACAATTTTTTTTTTTTTACAATCTCTTATAACCATATCTTAACACCGTTGATTTCTGCTAATCACGGTTATCATTTATTGTGAATTAATAATTAATTAATAAATTTAATTTAAGAAAATCATAACCGTTGATTGGCGGAAATCAACGGTGATAAGATATGGTTGTAAGAGATTATAAAAAAACGGTTGTAAGTATAACCTTCATCTATAAATATACTTTAATATTTCTACAGTGAAATGTAGATAAGTTATCTATATTCGCTCTCCAAATGACGTCGTTTTGGGTTAAAAAATTAAAAAATTATAATAAAAAAGACTATTATAATCCTGAAATAAATTATAATTATAAAAATACCTTGATTTTTGCCACAAAACGACGTCGTTTTGAGCTCAATGTAAATAAGTTATCTACATTTAAAGTAAAAGAAGCGAACCCATAAATATATACCAAAAACTAATTATTATAATTTTCAGCTTTAATTCTCGTGTGTATATTTTTTAATCTTTGATTACGTTATTCATTAACATGAGACTAATTCATTTATCACTATCGCCATTAGAACATCTTTTCAACCTTTTCTCTTGAGATGATACGATGAAACTAACAATAGTGCAAATTTATATTATTTTATTTTATTAATTAAAAATGTGCAATTGCATTACTCATTAAATAATTTATATTTTGCAATGATGATTGAAAATGAAGATGTTAGAAAACCATATTTTGTTTGACTGCTACAAAACAATATTAATTTTTTTCTTTGTATAACCAAAATAAAACTACTTTTAAACATCAAATTAATGAAAAACATAATTATTTAAGTGCACAACATGTATATTTCCAAATCACAATATTGGTTTTCTGTTTGAGATACTTTGACAGGTTGAGATAGCATTTTTAAGGAAGTGTTTGATGTAAACTAAGTGTCTGATTGAATTTTTTATTTTTTTTAAGTTAGAAGCTACTTATAAGCTATGATGCACCACACTGACACGACGACACGACACGCCGACACGTTAATTCTAAAAAATATCATATTTCGACACGTTGGGACATGTTTTGATATTAAATAATATTTTAATATATATAATATTTTATATTTAATACATATAACAGCCCATAATAAGTCATATAAACAATCAAATATTCAAATTGCATAACATAAATATAAAAAAAATAATTTTTTGTACCTTGTTAATTTTTCATGTCAAATTTCATAATAGAAAAAATTGATTTATAAATTATTTTTTTATGTTTAGTTAATAAAATAAAATAGGATATCAAAAAAAAAAATTAGACTAAAAAAAAAAACGTGTCGGAAACGTGTAGGAACGTTGACCACGTGTCGGAAAAAGTTGACTGAGTGTCGAAAAAGCGTGTCGGAACGTGTCGGAGCGTTGACCGCGTGGCCCAAAATATTGACTACATGTTGAAACGTGTCGATGTCTGACATGCACAAATTTGAAAAACTTGCGTGTCGGTGCTTGTTAGCTTATAAGTATAAGTTAGACTAAATAGGTTTTGAATAAGGGCCCGTTTGGATGAGCTTTTTTTTCTTCAAAAGTTGCTTTTTTCTTGAAAAAAAGCACTTCTCATTTTTAGTTCATTTGGATATCTACTTTTAAAAAAAGCAGAAGTCACAAAAAAAGCCAAAAACTTACTTTTTTCAGAAGCTAAAAATTTTAACTTCTACAAAAAGCAAAAGTCAAAAGCCAAATATTTTTTTCAAAAACTAAATATTTTTATAAAAATATAAATAGCTTTAACTTTTGTAAAAAGCACTTTTAAAATAAGGAAGAGATAAAAGTCACTTTTTTTAAAAGGTGAAACAAACAGGCACTAAAGCTCTTATAATGAAAAGCTCTTTTTTTATATTGAAGAAAAAAGCTAAAAGTTCCTAGAAGGAATTTTTTTAAGCTCCTATCTGTTTTTCTTGAATTGTGTGTTTTTTTCAAATGAAGAGCTATAGAAATAGAGACATATATAATTTTCTCGAAATATGTGATTTTAAGTAATTTTTAAGCTAAAATTTTTAAATTATCAAATGGAAAATTGTATTCTCCAACCGTAGAAGATAACTATCTCATGTCATAAAGACATAAAAAGATGTGCTTGCAATTTCTTTTCTTTTTTATTTTTTATTTTTCTTTAACTTGTGGGCTCCACATTTTTTGTTAGTGTAGGAAAAGAAAATTCTCTCATGTTAAATGAGAGAAGATTACCCTTACCAAACAGTTTTTAACTTTTTTTTTAAGCTCTTTTTTGTAACTTTAGCTTATAAGTAGCTTCTAGTTTAAGAAAAAGATGATCCAAATAGGCTCTAAGTGGCTAACTCACAACATAAGTGTTTGTTCCATCTATTGTGTGGTAGTTGATACACATAAATATTGAATAGAACAATGAAAGATTGATTACAATATTCTCTAGGTTGTGCTACAAAAAGAGAAAGTTCACCATGTAAATGGATAGCGAGAGATGGGGGAAGGAGAATGGGACAGTTAGTTAGAACCATCACATAGATTGGGTGTTGCCGCTATGGCATCTTCTACTTGCATCTTAATTTCGTATGTTAGGGTATACCCCTAAGAGAAGAGAACAAAGGAAAAAAAGAATGGTTATTCATAATTTTATTCAGATAGATCTTAAAATGAAAACTTGATCCCCTTTATAATACCCATCACATAAAAGTTACTCTACAAACTCTCCACGTTCTACTCATGTGTCCAACTATTAACACACTCATTAAGACTCTGTTGACATGTACAACTATCACACACTCAATGAGATTATGTGTATGACACTACCCTTTATATAATGAAATCTTGTAGACGAACTGAGCTTCTTTTGACATGGGTTGATTTTCTAGCCGTAACATTCCCCACTCCTTCAAATTGGACCTTGTCCTCAAGGTCAAAAGTTGGATAGCAATGATGAAAAGCATGTTCTTCCTCCTAAGTTGCGTCTTCCGAAAGAGAATGAGTCCATTGGACTAAGAGTTCACGAGTTGGCTGGCTTTTGCGCATAGCTGAGCGTGTTGCTACCACAGCTAAGGGTGACTGAACAGGCTTGTTATCAACAGCAGTGGTAGGCAAGGGACTGGGAACAAGTGACTGATCCCCTATACATGGTTTAAGCTAGGAAATATGAAAGACTGGATGTACTTGACACCCATCAGGTAAATGCAGCTCATAAGCTACGGTGCCCAGGACGCGAGACACCTCAAATGCCCATAAAAACGCTTGTGATTCGCACTGCGCTGCACTGTGACTTGCCTGTAGGGTTGCAACCTCACCCAAACTTTGTCCCATACTGCAAAAGAGCGCTCTTTTTTATGCTCGTCATATTGTACCTTCATTCTGTTTTGGGCACGTTGCAGATGAAGCTTAAGCCTAGCCAAAATCTCATTACGCTGCTGAAGCATAGTATCAATAGCCTCTATCTTCACTAATCCCCTAGGATAGAAGGAAATCAACAAAGGGGGCTTCCCAAACACAGCCTCATAAGGTGTTCGTCCAATAGCAAAATGAGTGGAGGATTTGTAATTATATTGCCCCCAACCAAGCAAGGAAGACCAAAGACGAGGTTGTTTAAAGCAAAAAGCGCGCAAATACTGCTCAACATATCTGTTGGTAATCTCTGTCTGGCCATCTGATTGAGGATGATAGGAGGATGTTGTGCGCAATAAGGTACTGCTCAGCTTGAAAAGATGCGTCCAGAACTGACTCACAAAGATGTGGTCTCTATCTGTCAAAATCGATCTACGAAAACTGTAATATGGCATTTAGCGCAGTTACAATCACAGTAATTGAGTTAATTAAATTACGGGTAAACTCTTTCTTTTTTTACATTCTTTTCTTTAAACATTAACCATTTTCGTAATCAATTAAAAACAACATCGTAATTGTAATCGCAAAACTTGCGAAAGCATAAAACTTATTTATTATAACCCCTCCAAGTAATATCATTAACTCTAGGTTATAAAATGACTCATTTTCAAAAATTTCATAGTGGGAATCGATTCCCAACAGGCAGGAATCGATTCCCAGCAGCTACAGTAACAGACAGAAGCTTAATTTTTGCTCCCCTATTTTTAGAAATTGATTCCCAGCCTTCACAGTGGCTGAAATTTACATGCTCTGTTTCAGGGAATCGACTCCCAACAGCAGGAATCGATTTCCTACTGTGAAATCCTAGTTTTGATAGCTTTTTGACTTCACAAGGGATCCATAATTTCATTCCTAACACTTTAATACTTAATATAACTCATGTACCATTACTAATGTAGGCTCTAGGCCCTTCCATCATGCATAATCTAATACCAATGTATCATTTTACATCATTCACCATATCCTTTGTCATTTACACATCATATGGCTCATTTTACATCACAAGTATCCAAATGCCTCTAAACGCAAAATATGTGGCCATGGACAAGTCTCATGCTCACCAAGATGTCAATATAAACAATAGGAATGAAATGTAAATCAATTACAAAAGACTTAGAGTCTAATCATGAAAACCACAAAAGCATGGAAATCTTAACATGCAATATGTTCATGAT